ATCTGACGAATGAGGAGGGCCTTGGAAGGGGCGACCAGAAGCCAATCGTCCAGATACGGGAACACCATCGGGCCACAGAGGCGGAGATGTGCCACAACAACTACCATCATCTTGGTAAAGACCCTCGGCCGCGATGGGCGGGGTGGATAGTTAAATGGCAATAGGCATGCTCGAGGTCAAGGGTGGCCATCCAGCATCCCTAGGACAGGAGAGGCAGAATGACGGGAAGGGATGTCATTTTGAATTTTTGGTACCTTATAAAGGTGTTGAGGCCGCGAAGGTCTAAGATCGGCCTCTGCCCGTCGTCCCTTTTGGGTACCACAAAGTATCGGGAATAAAAACCCTGGTGATCTAGAGGCACGGGTTCTATAGCACCCTTTGATAGAAGTGTGGTGACCTCCTCGAGGAGGAATGATGGGGTAGTGATGACGACTATGGGAAGAGGTGGGAGTTCCATGAATTCGATGGAATAGCCCTTGGCTAAGATGGAAAGGACCCATTGGTCCGGCGTAATGGTGGCCCAGGCCTGTAAATATGGATGGAGGCGGGTAGGGTCGGGAGAGGTAGACAGGTGGAAGTCAAAGGCCCTGCTTGCCCGGTTCGGGTTGTTTCGGTCTGACAATCTGCTGTCCAGAGCCGTATCTCTGTCTGGCCTGGTACTGCTGCCTATTCGCAGATGGGGACAGACGTGGCCTGTAACCTTTATCCGGCGACGGCTTAGCGTATTGGCGTCTGGAGCCGTAACGAGACCACGAGCAAGGACGAAAAGGCTTAAAGGGGGCAGAGACCCCCAGTGACCTCGAGGCCTTAATGCTTTTGTCCATTTCCTGGAGCGTCAAATCAGTGGATGCATGGAAGAGACCTTGGCCATCGAAAGGTAATCTCTATGTACGCCCTGGTATCAGCAAGGAGTGCGGTGGTCCTCAGCCAGGAGTGCCTACGGAGGGCAACTGCAGATGACATTGTTTTTGAAAATGTGTCCAGAGTATGTTTGGATGAGTTGATGATTTGTTTAGAGAGCAGCAAGCCTTCCTTTTGCAGCTTCCTGGCCTCTTGACGTTTGTCATCAGGCACTGAGGTCAGAAAGTCGGTAAATTGCTCCCAGAGCAGCCCATACAAGCAACATAATTAGATGTCTTAATGCCGGGGGCTCCCGCCGAGTAAAAATGACGACCAATGGAGTCTATCTTCTTGCTCTCCTTATCTGAAAGGGTAGCAAGGGTCCGTTTACTCTTTGAGGTGGATGACATGACCAAGGAGTTGGGCTTGGGGTGGATATGGAGGAATTCCGCTCCCGTCTCCTGGACCCGATACATGTGATCCAAACGTCTGGACGACACTGGAGCAGAGGAAGGCTTGTCCCACAGGGCCTTAGATGCCTGTAGAAGGACAGTCAACATTGGGAGAGTGATCGAGGTGGAGGTATCGTTCTGCACGACATCGAAGACAGCATCCGACACCGAGGGTTAGGGTTGGACAATTGACATGTCCAGGGAATGTGCCATCCTCTTGACCAAATCTCTGTATGACGAGGGATCAGCAGATTGTCCGATACTGTAGCTTTTGTTGACGGATCCTTAGGTGATTCGGGGCTTTCCGAATCATTGGTGTCAGTATTGGAGATAAATGATACGACAAATGATACCGGAGCTGCAGGGGTATCTGGTATCGGGGCGACTTTCGATGTGGAGTGGAGAGGAGAGGGTGGGCGACAAGGTTCCTCTGGAGCTTTGGATTGTGATGCTGAAGGCTTAGATTTACAGTGGGGAGAGTGTGAACGACATGAACCACGGTCCCAGTCCGACTGTGGCCTAGGTGTCAGCCATGGCATGGATGCCGACATTGGGTACGATGTGAACCAGCAAGGCATCTGCCCCCTACGATCCCCCGGCATCGATGGGTCGAAGTAGGTTGGAGAGTGCGGTCTCAATTCCCGTCTAAGCAAGTATGAGAGCATGGGCCTGGAACAACGGTAATCTGGGCACTCATCAGGTCGATATCGATATTCGTGGCCTCTGGGTGATCGGGATCGACGGTGTCAAGAGCCCAGTGCCGACCGATCACTTTCCCAGGAAATCACCGACTGGGAACGATGTGCACGAGGCCAACGTGGAACCGTTTCCTCAACTTGAAATGGTGAGGCTGAAATTGGTCCGGAATCGACCGAAGCCTCTGATCCCGGGGGGTTCAGGTGCCGGATCAGTGAGTCCAGAAACGCAATCGTTGGCAGCTCTGGTATCGGGGTATCAACGACATCGAGTTGCGCCCGCTGGAGAGGGGGTAATGCAGAGCCTGATTGCACATTATCGCTGCTCACTTTCTGAGTGCTTCTCCTTTTTCTTCTTTTTAGCCAGTGTAGAGGCGGATGAGACTGTGTAGAGGCGCTTAGAAGACTGCCCCCCGTCTGATGCTGACTTTGCACGGTGTGGGTGTTTCGGAGCCGAGGTGGTTTCCTGATGTCGATTTGGTCGCCGTCGATAGGGAGGGTGCAGGAGTCTCAGCCGACATATTTTCCACAGGCACAGGGGACAATGTCAATTCCCAAAGTGCTACTCGAAGTCTTGCAGCTCTGTTCTTGTGAGTTTGGTTCGAGAACTTCACACAATGGCGGCAAGCGTCTGGGCGATGAGTCTCCCCAAGGCAAATAATGCAGAGTGTGTGGCCATCACGAGGGGCAAGTTTACTGCCACAGTCAATACACAAATTAAAACAACCCCCTCTTTTGGCCATAAAAGATTAAAAAGGCCCAAAAAACCAAGAAAAAGGTCCTTCGCTGAGGAGAGGAAATGTTTACCTCAGGAAGAGAGAGGGGGGAGGGAGAAGGGCGGGAAGCTGCCTGAGGCAGCGGCAACCCTCAACGAAAAGTCTCTCTCTCTCTTTTTTTTTAGATAATAATAAGAAATAAAATAAACGCTGGAAGCGAAGAAAAGAAAAATAGGGAGTATCCCTCGTGAGAGGAAAAAACGCTTCTTCACTGACAGGCAGAAACAAGCTGTTAACAGCGTGGCGGTCAGAAGAGAACTGGCGAGATGTTCGTGCCACTCTTCTTGGGCATGCGCAGTGGGGTTCCCATGCATGCCTGGAGGGGAGGCGTGAAAATCCCTTTGTGAGCTTTGCATACCACCGATACAGATCAGTGCAGGCGCATAATCCCATGGGTGTGATGCACAGAGACCATGAAGAAGATTCCCGTTTTTTAAAAGTCTGAAGACAAACCCACACAGTTTGAAATTGGGGCAAGAATCCACAGGAAGACCTGGGCTCCCCACCCCCCTTTCCCTTTCTCCGGCTTGCCCTCAGGGCTGCGAACAAAAGGTTAGGGTTAGGGGATCTTGGGGAGGCCTCCTTTGTGGGGTAAGATACCCACACTTTCCTTTTGTTTAACATTAAAGGAACAGGCTAAAAGCGGAAAGCACAACTCACAGAGTTCTGACTACTGTGTTTCGGAATGTACAGAAAGAACTCTCAAGCTGGCCCAGAATGCAGCGGTGCGAGTCCTGACGGGAATGTCATGGACATCTGAAGCTGCGCCAGCTACACTGGCTCCCAGTGGAGTACTGAGTCAAGTTCCAGGTTTTGGTATTGATCAATAAGGCCTTGAGCAGTCAGGGACCAACGTTATCTATGGGACTGTCTCTTCTGTTATGTCCCCGGGAGAGTGTTGCACTCTTCAGACAGTAACTTACTGGTGGCTCCTGGCCCCAAAGACATCCGGCCGTCCTCGACCAGGGCCAGGTGGACCTCTCTGCTGAGTACCATCAGGGCCCCCTGAGACCTTATGAAATTCCGCAGGGCCTGCAAGGCTAAGATGTTCTGCCAGGCTTTTTGGTTGAGGACAGTGACGGTTTTCATCTTGGCTGGCACCCTCTTCTGCGCTCTACGTTTGTCTTACCCCTTCCCCCCTGCCTGTAAAGCGGACCGCAGTCTGAAATGGGATTAATTTGTTTGCCGTCCATTTTAAAATGGGCTGTTCAATTATAATTGTTCTCATATTGTACGTCGCCCAGAGCCCTGCAGTAAGCAAGGAATGGGCGATTAATACATTTAATAAAATAATAACACTTCTCTTAGCAACTTATGGCAGTGCTGGGACACCCTTGGGCCGAAAGCCAGGCCCTTGTGCCTACCACACTGACATTCTTCATTAAAAAAAAAAAGAAAAAAAGATACAATTACCTGAACGCATTCCTCCAGATCCATTTTTTCCAGCTCATGACAATTCTGGAGATAATAAAAACACAGAAAGACAGAACTAAGCATTCACCATGTTTTTAAAAGCACAGGCTATTCAGGTTCTTCTTTTCTCAGTCCAAGGTTCAGTCCCCCCACCCCCACCCCCAAATGGAATTACTCTGTTGTAAACCGTTGGACAAATGAAGCTGACACAAGAATAGTAAACTTTCCCCCACCCCCAGGATCAGAAACAGGAATGCAAAAGATCAGACTCCCACAGTGCACTGGACACTCTGGCGACAAATCCGTTCTGGCCGACGTGAACAGAGCTAACCGTACGCTACATATCCTGCTCTTCTGCCCAATCTGGAGCTAGAGTAATCCCACGCAAAGGTATTGGCTGGAATAGTTTATTTCACTCCCATGAGCTCAGGTGTTTTTTTTTTAGGGGGCGGGGGGAGTTGGAACTTAGTGAGGATGTGGAAATGAGACTTCTGCAGACTGTGGACCAGCGTGCTGTAGGGGATTACTACCATGCATAGGAAGGAAGGAAAAGGCACACGGAGAATCTAAAAAACCATTTTAACTAGGGATAGGCATGAGCTGAACCATGAACCGATATGAACCGGGAGGTTGGTTCGTGAACTGAACCAGTTCGTATCGGTTTGTGACTCCTGCTTTCTGCTCCCCACCACTTTTTGCGGGGAGCAGAAAGCAGGGGTTTCCCCATGAAAAGTGGCGGGAAGCAGAAAGCAGGGGTTTAAATGGACCTGATTTCTGTTTCCCCGCTGCCCAGCTGCTTTTAGCAAAGAGCAGAAAGCAGGGGGTTAAATGGCTCTGAGCCATTTAAACCCGTTTTCTGCTCCTACCACTTTTTGTGGATATATTTAAACCCTTGCTTTCTGCTCTTTATGAACCGCCACGAACTGCTTTAAAATGAATGGAAGTTCGTGGCAGCTCTTCAGTTTGTGAACCACGAACGGTCCAAAATTCATTGTGAACTTTTGTTTGTGAGCTGGTTTGTGCCCATCCCTCCCCTTAACCAACAGAAAAGGTGAACCTGCTGGCCTTCCAATGACCCCCCCTCCCCCGTTCCAACCAAGGTTCTGAGATGTACCAGACCATGGGATCTGAAAATGTCCTTGTGAAAACCTCTTCAGCCAGATGCTTGACCTGGATGCCTTGCTGAGATTGGCGTAGTCTCCTTCCCTGGACACTCCCCTGACCACTTGAGACCCCCTCTCTTACCCTCCCTCAGTGAACTTTGCTCCCATGCCCTATTTCCTCACTTGCACTCCATTCCCAATCCTGGAAGGCTGCTGCTGTCACTCACTCAATGCTCATATGGCTTACAACACACTGGGCACTATGCCCACCCCCTGGCAAATTGTGTGGGATTCCCCATGCTTGCTTCCCCTCCGCCCCCTACTGCTCCTGAGCAGCAGTGTGTTTTCTAAATCTGCATTTGTAAGAAAGAGCCCCTGCCGCTCTATCAGAAGCTCCTCCCGCAAAGCACTGCCTGAGACAGACAGCCTCAGCTGTACCATTTAATGGTAACGTTGGCTCTGGTATTCGCCGCATCAGAAAGCGAATGCATGCAGATGAAGGGCGGCCTGAGCACACACTGGCAGATGCCCAGGAAGCAAACGGTGGAGTCAGGCGCTTACCCGAGCCAGAGTGGTAAAGCCCACATCTGTGAGCTGAGAGCATCGGGCCACTTCCAATATTCTGCACAGAAAATAAAATACAGTAAATACAGCTGCCGATGTTTGATGCTTTGCAGAGCCCATTTCCGAAATCCCACAAACACGGTGTGTGCTGTCTGTGCATCGGAACAACGCTTTGCTTGCTGGTGCCAGGTAGTTATTTCTCACCTGCTGTATCTCATGGGCTCACTTTGGCTAACAGCAACCCCACTATACTCACAGAGAAAGGATAAGCAATGTCCCGGAAACCGGAAATGTCTTTATTTATTTCAAAAGATACATATATTTTTTACTCTTCTTCCCAGCACAACTCTGGAACACTTGTAAAGAGGCAAGGGGAAAAAATCCTACATTCTGCACTTCCACTAGTTCGCCTCTGCTGCGAACCAGCTCAGCGCTCCCCTCATCATCCCTCCAACACCCCGATGCTCACCAGCTTCCCCAACCCTGCCCCCCAGGCCCGTCCCTGTTTTCCTCTCGGGACAGATTCAAGTTGCTGTTTTTATCTGAGAAACCCAGCCTTGGTTTAGGCCCAATGTATCCTAGAGTCCATCTTCTTCACTGCGTTCCACTGACTTCTGAAGCCTCTTAATGTTACTGAACAATGAGAACATGGAAAAACTCTCTTTGTGGCCTTCCCGTACCATTAACAGACTGCAAAAAAAGCAGGATACCTTCCCCATAAAACTTGCCAACGTTTACCCCTCAGATTTTTTCAGCAGCACTGGTGTGTGTGTGTGTGTATAAAGGTCAGGCTTACAGAGACATGGGGAGGGGGAGAATCAAAAACATTCTGATGCGCAGAAGTGTTATTCTATGAAATCAATACAATAAATATTATTGTGGTACCTTAAAAACTAAAAAGCTTATTGTGGCTTCAGCTTTCAGGAGCCAGAACCCACTTTGTCAGATGCATGAAGTGTTAACTCTCAGTCACTTAAGTATACCAACACACCACACAAAAGTACAAATAGAAAGGGAAGTAATGGGAAGGATGGAAGTTGTTTGGTTGCAATGGACTGGCGCGGCGGCTGCTCTGGAAATTAAGTACAGCAAATGGTTTTGCTTTTAAAAACCATTACCCACCATTAGAAAGGAGCAAGAGTCCAGTAGCACCTTAAAGACTAACCAAATTTGTGGTGGGGTATGACCTTTCGTGAGTTACTGCTCACGTCTTCAGGTATCTGAAGCTGTGAGCAGTGACTTATGAAAGCTTGTCCTCCGCCACAAACGTTGTTAGTCTTTAAGGTGCTCCTGGACTCTTGCTCTTTTCCACTGCTACAGACAGACTAACAATGCTACCCATCTTGATCCATTACCTACCATGAGCCTTCAGTACAGGGTGAGCGAAAACAATAAACATCCCATTCTCTGGTCCAGCTCCTTTTCACTTCCAGTGTTGCCCCCCCCCCCTTTCCTAGTGTTTGATTCCCATCTGGCTTAGATCCTATGACTGTAGGCTTAGATCCTATGAATGAGTTCTGCGCAAGCTAGATTGCCTCTGGTGCAGAGTATGCTTATTGCACTAGCATTTCCACAAGGGCTCATTGAAAAAAAAACAGGGCTGCGCTTAACAGTAACTTATTCAACAAGTTTCAGGGTATAAGCCTTCCAGAGTGAAAGCTCCTTTTGTCAGATACATTCAATATATCTGATATATGGAGCTTTGAAAGGCTTTCTTTCTCTCTCTCTCTCTCTCTCTCTCTCTCTCATCATCCAAGATCAGCATATATACCAGTGATCATGTAGACATATACATCTGTTACGCATCTGAATATGTTAAATAGGAATGCGAGTATATATCGCTAAAATAAAATCAATTAACATTGTTAAAATGAAGCAGTAATCTTCTACCTGATTAGACATGCGAATGCACAAAGTCTCGCTACCTTGAAAGTGGTTTCGTTACAATAATCAGCAAGGAGGAGAGAAGTGTAAAAGTGATTAGATCTGCCTGGATACTTGGGATATAATTGGAAAGGTATACATTCTCCGGATATTCTGGTAATACTGGCAATGTAGGAGTACATGCTCCATCGCCTCTACCGATCCAGATTGACAAAAACAGCGACGCCGCACATAGGGAGCACATGTGTATCTCCTCTCAAGAAGGGCCAATGGGAGAACATTGAATCTAGCCATGGTAAAAGCTCTGCGGTATACCCTGAAAATCTTGTGGGTCTCGAAGGTGCTACTGGACTTGACTCTAGCTCTTCTAGTGCAGACCAACATGGCTCCCCTCTGAAACCGTTATTCATCGAGTGGTCTTCTGTGCAGTCACACACTGGGTACTGCACAGGCTGTCCTCCTGAGCCCAAAATGGGCAGCTTAGAGGGAACATTGGTCCTGAGCCCAAAATGGAATGGCGCAATGATGAGCCACAAGGATGATGCCACAATGACGAGCCACTGATCTTGCACAAAAGAAACGTTGGCCCAAGAGGAAGCATGCTCCAGGGCACCAGCTATCTAGAACCCGTTCACAGGAGCCAAGCCTTAGATGTTTATACCTCACACTTTTCTCCCCAACAGGGACTCTGAGGAGCTTGCCACCTTATTCTCCCCTCCTCTATTTAATCCTAGCTCTGTGAGATGGGTTGGGCACAGAATGAGGCCCAAGATAACCCAGCGACCTTCCATGGAAGGGTGGCGCTTCAAACCCGAGTCCCCCCATGGGTCCCCCCCCAGAGCTGAAAGCTCACGCCCCGAGCTGCCATTTTCCAATGCTACCCTGAATGGTGGTGGGAGAAAATACCACAAAGACACACACACACACACTCACTCTCTCACACACACACACACACACACACAGACCCACTGGCCTGATGCCATGACACTGCTTCAGAGGGGGGGGGAGTGATGTCAATACACCCTAAGAATCACTGTAAACTTTATAATTCTAACATAGAGCCTTTTCAGCAATTTCTAGAGAGGCACGATGTCACTTCTGGGTTTCTCCCAGAAGTGACATCACACTGTCACTGTTGGCACCCTCCCATGTCCCCACCCTGCCCGCGGTCTCCTGTGCCTGGCATTCCTAGCCCCCCTAGATTCTAGTCTGAAATCCTAACTGCTGCATACATCCAACACACACCATTGTAGATCGGATGCTACTTACCTAAGTCTTGGACAGTTTTGCCCTAAAGCATTCAAGATGGCGTCAGTGATGTTGGAGCAGCCAGAGGCACACAGAGATTGCAGCTTGTGGCACCCCCTGCATATTGTAATGAGGCCATCATCTGTAATTTGCTATTGGGGGAGGGAGAGAAGTAAAAGTCAGCATTAATAAGGGCTTTCTTTTTCTTTTCTTTTCTTTTTTGCATAGGAGCCGTTTCAAAAGGAAAGATCTGTACAACAAATATATGTGTGCGTGCCTACACACACACACACACACACACACACACACACACACACACATCTATAGATAGATAGATATAGATAGAACTAACTTTCAGTCCCTTTCAGCAGTGAAGCAATGGCTTGCTGGAAACTGTCATGTGAAAAGCAGGATGCCAACTGCATATGGCCTCTCAGAACCAGGTCCTTTTTTGGGCTGCATGTTTCATTTTTGGCAAGGACCACAAATTGGTATACAGGATATTTTCTTGCAGGATAAAAATGTGCTTCCTGATCCAACTTAAAAAAACATACACACACAAACACGCAAGCAACTGTATTTTTAAGACATGCAACAATTAAGCTTGGAGAGAAGACCAAATAAAACATTCTAGCTTGACAGAGGACCAATTTTTCCCAGCCGGTCCTGCAAACAAACTTGGAAAGACCTCCTGGACAAGGACGAATCCCGACCAGATGGCTCTGCCACACTAAATGTTAGCACTGGGGCTGTTTTGAAGGCTTCCTCACATTATCCAAACAACACTTCCAGTACGGGCTGGTCTCATTTTTAAAATACCTGCTCCATGAGTAGAGTGGCAAGTTTTCGGTAGGGATGAAGGTGGAGTCTAGTAGGCTTTTCATGGTTAGGAGGCCACAGTCTAATGGATGTGGGGGCCAATACAATTTTAGAATAATCTGGCTGAAATAGCTATCTTATTCAACTAGACAGCCAGCATCAAACATGCAGTAAAAATGTTAAATGGGCATCCAAAATACCCAGCAGTTGGTGAGCATGTTGGTGGGGCCAGGAGAGATAACTTTCTGTAGTTCTAACTTACTGAGAACAATGATGGCACTGATCACACACCCAAATGTCTAGGGCAGTGGTGGCGAACCTATGGCACGGGTGCCAGAGGTGGCACTCCAGAGCCCTCTCTGGGGGCACACGTGCCATCGCCCCAGCCAGGCCCAGACCATCATTAAAGTGTCGAATTCTCTGCCAAATAATTTTAAGTCAATGAAAGCATTTGGGATTGCTTTCCTTACTTTGTTTGGATCATCTTAAGTTAATGTATGAGTTGCTTTTTCTAAACTAAAACCTCAGTATTCAGGTTAAATTGCCGTGTTAGCACTTTGCGATAAATAAGTGGGTTTTGGGTCGCAGTTTGGGCACTCGGTCTCTAAAAGGTTCGCCATCACTGGTCTTGGGGATGTGTTCTAAGGCTGCGATCACACACGCTAAATAATCTACTTTCAATCCATTTTCAGTGCACTTTCGAATTGGATTTTGCCAGTTCACACAGGAAAAATCTAGTTGGAAAGTGCACTGAAAGCGGATTATTTAGCTTGTGTGACCGCAGCCCAAGGGAGCTCCGGATGGCATTTGATTTCTAAAAAGAAAAATGCCAGGGATCAAGTTTTATGGAAGCCCTGCTTCTTAATTCTAATGGTAGGGGGTGACAGGCAGTTGCTCAATGGTGAGGGAAAGGCCTCTCTCTGTACTTGCACAATTGTACACCATTCACTTATTCAAGGAAGCTTACACAGCACATCAGCTTTTAGACAAAATAATATAACAATAATTGAAGTACACGAGACAAAGGAACAACATATAATTCCTATCCTTCCTTTTAAAGATGGGGCAGAACTAAACATAGTGTGGGTGGAGGCACTTGTTGAAAGAGAAGGTTAGAGACTACAAATCTAGGCCAGCATTTAAGGAGGAGGAGATTAGATTTATACCCTGCCCTTCACTCGGAGTCTCAGAACAGTTTACAAACTCCTTTCCCTTCCCCTCCCCACACCCTGTGAAGTAGGTGGGGCTGAGAGAGATCTGACAGAAACTGCTCTTTTTCAAGAACACCTCTGACAGAACTATGGCATGCCCAAGGTCATCCAGCAGCTGCTAGCAAGGGAGTGGGGAAATCAAACCCGGTTCTCCCATATTAGAGCCCGCGCACTTAACCACCACACCACTCGTTAAAACAGACCTTATGTGCCCATCTAATTCAGTCACTGCTCAGGTGAGCTGCATTTTAATAGCCACCTCGGAAGAAGATTTACCACTTAAACTACAGCTGCCTTTCTAGTACAGCTTCCCTTCTAGTTGAGAGGCTATTTGATGGATTCACTGAAACCTTCCCCTATTTCTCTTTTCTCCAGCATGAATTCATTTGCTTCTTTCTCAGTGGCCCTGACTTGAAAGGAACAGCGTCAAATAAAATTAAATAAAAATACTGCACAGAAAATGACGCACAACAGCTCAGATAAGAATGACACCTGCCAGATGCTCCAAAATAAATCTATGAAACAATCCTCAGCTTGAATTGCTGGTCCAGTTTGTGGTATTTCTTTACGTCAAGCCCTGCATTTGTGACAGAATGATTGTCCCAAAAATTTAGGAATAAAGTGGTTTACATATATTTGGCATACATGATCCTGACGGACAAATAGTCTGACTTACTATAAGGCAGTTTCATGTGATGCGACTATGTAGTCGGAAGCAGTCTTAATCTCAACAATTAGGGATACCAGAGGCACAGAACAGGGTCCAGCCTGCACTCCAGTGGTGTTCCAGAGTGTATCCATTTCAGTTCTCCCACATTATATAGGGATGCCAGCCTCCAGGTGGGACCTGGGGATCTCCCAGAATCATAATTCATCTCCAGATTACAGAGATCAGCTCCGCTGCAGAAAATGGATGCTTTGGAGGATGGACTATATGGCATTGGACCCCATGGAGGTCCCTGTCCTTTCCAGGCTCCTCCCCCCCAAATCTCCAAGAGTTTCCCAACCTGGATCTGGCAACCAATGCTCCCTCTAAGTTGTAGAGTCTTGTGAGCACAAATTCTACTTTGTGAACTACTGGCATTAAAGTTGTGAGCGAGCGATTTGGCTACTGCATAAATTAGTTTGCTTTGGAGCCATCCTTCCTGAGCTGAGACAAAAATGTGTGAGCCGGAGGCTAAGAAACTGTGAGCTGGCTCACACGAACTCAGCTTAGAGGGAACACTGCTGGCAACCCTACCATATTAAGTGGTTTCTATTCATTCCTAAGACTGAAAATAAAGTGCTGCAAGGCAGCTGAAATGGACAAATTGACTTTATTGATGAACGTTCTTCAGGATTCTACATTCCAGAACACTTGGACACGATTTTATAGCTGGTATAATAAATGTGTATAGACAAATACAATTAAAAGACGACTTACAAGATAAATTATATGTATAACCCATCAAGATAGAATTGTAATGATATATAAAAAGGTAAAGGTAAAGGTTCCCTTGCTCGAAAGCCAGTTGAGTCCGACTCTAGGGTTGCGGTGCTCATCTCCGTTTCCAAGCCGAAGAGCCAGCGCTGTCTGAAGACGTTTCCGTGGTCATGTGGCCGGCATGACTAAACACCAAGGCGCACGGAACGCTGTTACCTTCCCACCGAAGTGGTACCTATTTATCTACTTGCAATTTCTTGCTTTCGAACTGCTAGGTTGGCAGGAGCTGGAACTAGAGACGGGAGCCCACTCCGTCATGCGGCACATTCGGGTCTCGAACTGCTGAACTACTGACCTTCCACAGCCTGCAGTTCAGCGTCTTAACCACTTGAGCCACCGCAGCTCCTGTAATGATATATACCCACATTATAAAACTAGAAAATATTGTTTAAATTTAGGCTTAAGTAATGTACTAATTGTGAAAATCTAGTACACCCATCAATGTAATGTATGTATGTATGTTTTACTGTTTAATTGTCTAGTTTGTATTGTATTGTGTTAAAAAATTTAATGAAATTCTGTCCCTTCGGACAGCTATAAAAATAATAATAAAGTGCTGTACTTGAGGACAACACTGCAGTGAGAGCTAAACCTCCCTCCTCTCCCATTCCTGATCTATGATGACTACGCAGTCCTCACAGGGGCCTCTGTAACATAAGAACATAAGAGACGCCAATGTTGGATCAGGCCAAAGCCTCTGTGTCACACAGTGGCCAAAAACACCAGGTGCCATCAGGAGGTCCACCAGGACATTAGAAGCCCTCCCACTGTTGGCCCCCCCAAGCACCAAGAAGACAGAGCCCCTATCTATACCTTGTGGCTACTAGCCACTGATGGACCTCTGCTCCATACGCTTATCTAATTCCCTTTTGAAGCCGTCCATGCTTGTAGCCACCGCCACCTCCTGTGGCAGTGAATTCCATGTGTTAATCACTCTTTGGGTGAAGAAGTACTTCCTTTTATCCGTTCTAACCTGACTGCTCAGCAATTTCATGGAGTGCCCACACATACAAGCCCTCCCTTCATCATATCCCCACCTGCCACGTTGCTAATCTTCACGCATTGTCAAGAGTTAGCTCTGTGCTAATTCCTCACATCTTGCTGAACTTGCCTGCTTGTCTACCTCTTCGGGTGTTGTGGCAGGACGGGCCTGCTCTAGCATGCCAGCCTCATTTCCGCCCTGCCCTCCTAGGGGCTCCCAACTCCCCAGAGGGGCTTTTCTTTCTCACTGGGGTAGCCCGCCACAGCCACCTGGTCGTTGTAGGCATCTACCCACTGGGAGGATCAGGACTCCCAGCTTCCCTTCTCAGTTCTGAGGCCTTGCCTCTCTGTCTCCCGCTGCCCAACGCCTGGCTACCGCAGGGACCGTTTAATGCCTTGAACACCCTTGGAGGACTAGCCGCCTGCCAACCCCCCCTGGAGCCCCTTTTAATATACTGTGTCCGAAACGGTGGAGGTCTATGTGGTGCAGAGAACCACTCACAGCACCAACAGTTTAAAGCATTTATTAAAAAGAAAATGCTTACAAGTATACTTTTAGCACTGTACCAGATTTGAGCAAGGGAAACAAAAGAAATGGGTAAAAATGCAAATCCTCTGCTCCTTCCCATATACATGATGGTAAAATATAGGACAGGCTCTTTAGCTTAGCTGTTCTAGTTCTTTACAGAGTTCCATTACCTTGAAGCTCGCTCCCAGGCAAGCACATGGTCAATATGGCTCCCTCAGGAGTTAAGGGTCCTGTGTCCTCTCATTGCCTGGGCATCCCAAAGAAAGAGGGCTATATAACACTCTGGCTAAAAATTCATTACAACCTGAAGGGTTTAATACCTCACCTTTTAGCCTCGGACCCTTACCCTGCCTGGTCCACACTAATTCTTAATAAGTTAAATCAAATTGGCCTATTCCTAGAAGATCTGTTCTATGGAAGCCTATACAAGGCAAGAACAGCTGTCGAGCAGAGGCTTCGTGATATTGAATCACAAAATGAAGAAGCTTTGCTACCCAAGAACTTCAGAAATATAAAATCTTGGCCTAATTTTACTGTTGCCCCTTATTTAGTTAACATTACCTATGAACCCTAGAGATGGGCCTTTTCCAGAGCCTGTTTTGAGGCACTCCCTTCCGCTGTACTGCAAGGTAAATTCACTCGAGTCCCAATGCATGAACGTAAATTCACTCGAGTCCCAATGCATGCCCATGCATGGCTAATATGGTGGAATCAATTACTCATGTCCTCCTGTTCTGCAGATTCTATCAGGAGGAACGAGACCATCTTATACTACCCCTTCTGTCTAGATTTAGCCCTCTGCAGTCTTATCTTGACTTTAGGCCAGAAATCCTTCATAAATTCCTTTTAGAAAACGTTCAAAGCTCAGTGACTTATGCTGTGGCAAAATTTTGTTGCTTAGCTATTAGGAAACGTAAACTTATTTTAGCTGGAAAAATTGTATGATTCTCTTATTAACATTATTTTATTTTACTAATTTTATTAACTTTCTCTTGTTAATGTTTTTATACTATTCCCATGTTATGACTATTTTAATCCTTATATCAGAATTGTACTGTTTTACTGGCTCTTGCTGCAATAAATTAGACGACGAAGAAAGAGGGCTATTTTCTGTTGCACTGAGTTTCTATAATCTCTGGTTCCCCTCTCACTTGACCCCTGTCAGCCCAGGTCAAGGCAGCTTTTCCTGTTGTCTCCAGGAATCTACTTCCTCGGCCTCTCTAGAATTTGACACTCCCCAACTCTCTGCTCCCTGACTGAAGGGGGGGGGGGAGAGAAGAAGAAAGCTTGACTATCCTATTGTCTTTCCTGCTAGATCTATTAGCATTTGCAAGAAGGTGGGCTGAGGCCCCCTTCCCCCTCCCCCTTCCAGCCTGTTCTCTGTCCAGAAAGAAGAAAAAAACATTTTTAAGACACCAAGTGGGGGTTTGCTGCTTGCCAGTCTCCTAGGAGAAAATACATTTCTTCACAGGTGTTATCAGTGTATTCATGATATCAGCAGCCATCACACCTATGCTTATCCTCACTTCACACCTATCTGTATGCCTAGCAACCATGGAGCAAAGGCTAGCACAGCTAGCACAGCTGGAAGCAAGGGGTCAGCCAGGAATGCTGGAATAGAGCAGAGAGCAATAAAAAACAGGTTGCTTACCAGTAACTGGTAATCTTCGAGTGGTCATCTGTGCATTCACACCCATGGGATCTAGTGCGCACGTGCTGGATCAATCGGTGCTGTAGCAAGCTCTTTTAATGGATTTTCATGCCCAGTCCCCCGGGCATGCGCGGGAATCCCACCGCGCATGCCCAGAGGGGTGGGCACGGACATCCCGCCAGTTCCTACAAACCACTGCAAATCAACCCCTATTAAAAATGTAGAAGCTGACAGCAGCGGGGAAGGAGAGTTGGGTGGTGTGAATGCACAGATGACCACTTGAAGATCACCAGTTACTGGTAAGCAACCTGTTTATCTTCGATGTGGTCTCTGTGCTTCACACCCATGGGAGATTAGCAAGCAGTAGCCTACCTGGAGGAGGGTGCTGGCAGGTCCTTTACTGCGTAGCCGAAGACAGAATGTGACGTCCCATGCTGGTACTGGTGTTCGTACGGACGTCTAGGGCATAGTGCCTGATGAAGGTATTTGGCATTGCCCACGTAGTGGCTTTGCAAATGTCCGTCAGCGGCACTCCCTGGAGGAAGGCAGTGGAAGTCACGACAGCCCTGGTAGAATGAGCCCTGATAGGGCCAGGTAATGGCTGTTTGGCAAGTAGGTAACACAGATGGATTAGATCTACAATCCACTTTGACAGGCGTTGGGCCGTAATGCAAGTGCCCAGGTGTGGTGAAGCGTCTGAGATGAATAGTTGTGATTCTCGTCTAGTTGGGCGCATTCTGTTGAGATAGAAGAGGAGGTGGAGTGGTTTGTCTTCCGCTGATGTTGGGTTTGGGAAGAAGTCAGGTAGGAAGACCTCTGCCTGCAGGTGGAACTCTGACACCACCTTCGGCAGGAAGGAGATGTCCGGGATGAGGCAGACTCCATCTGGCAGAAAGGAGAGGTAAGGTGTATTGTGCCAGAAAGCCAAAAGTTCTCCCACTCGCCTGGCCGAGGTAATGGCAGTTAAAAAAGCCGTTTTCCACGCTAGGAGTTTGAGTTCACATGTCGCGAGTGGTTCGAAGGGCTTCCTTGTGAGCTGGCGTAGAACCAGAGTAAGGTCCCATGGAGTGACTGGAGATTTGACAGGAGGGTAAAGGTGAAGTAAACCTTTTAAAAACCGTTAGGAAATTGGATGCGCAAAAAAGAGTACATCCATCAACAGGAACATGAAAAGCC